CCATTTTCCTCAATGGGTATTGGCTTAGGTATGTAGTGCAGCTGCAAGCTTGTTTAGACAGGGCTATGTGTGGATAAAAGATTAGGCCTTGAACATGTTTTTGTTTTGCTAGGGCCGCTGGCAGTCCCAGATGCAGCAGCTCAGAGATATGGGGATCCAGGATGAGGAGCTGATGCTGAGGGCGCTACAGGCCACAGATGGTGACATCCAGGCTGCCCTCGAGCTCATATTTGCCGGAGGCCAAGGACTCTGAGCCTGTACCCCACGGACAGCCTTTTATAGATAAGAGAGCTTAAAAAAGCTGGTCACCCTGCTGCCCAGAAACAATAGAGCAAATTATGAGTGACAGTGTAAGGATTTCTTAACGTTTCCCAATAAAGAACAGAAGCAATTCAGCTCATCTCCACGGGCCATTTTGTTTCTTATTGATGAGACAAATCTTCTAATAAACTTGTTCATAATTACCATTCAAGCATTGCCCATGCCAGATTTATAGTTTGTTTGCAGTATTAAAACCTTAAAGAATACAACTCAAAGTTCATTTAAAAAGGTATTGGCTATATTTTCTTTACTACCATATATACCATCATTAATAGAATTAATTGACTCGTCAGGTTTAAATGTTGATTTAATTTTGTAATGACTAAAATTAACAATTTTTTATTTGGTTTCTTTTCTGCCTAATGACTTGAAGGTATGCACAGGCATATGGCCCATTGTAGATTTTTAACATTTCCCACACCTCTATAAAAGATCAGTTTTCAAGTTGTTGTTTCATATAAATGTGTTAAATAAAATCTTCTTTTATTTCAGCTCCAGAAGTTCCATTTAATGCACGTAACACTTATTCTGTATTTACATTATCCTGCCTGCATATGCAATTCCCCTTTGTGTACACTAGATGGCAATGCAGTAGTTTAGTACTGTGGAGAGTTGCCTGATTATCATCTTAGCACACTTGCTGCCCTTTACCCCCCCCCTATTAATTTAAAGCCTTGGGTTTGATCAGTCTTTTGCTGAATATTTCTTGGTAAATGGTTTGTGTTTGAAGTTGTGTGCCTTGATTTCCTTCAAAGGAGCACAATGCGCCTAGACAGACATCAGCATAAAAGAAAAAGTTGCACAGATAAGGTGAAAGCTTTATTAGCATTCTCTGATATTCCTGTGCTTGTTGGAGAATTGTTACATTAGTTAAGCCCCCTTTCCCCCCCAGCATTATTACAGACGGATACATTTGCTTTGTTTTGTTGTCTCCCGTTGGGGTATTCAAGGGGAGGACATATTGTTAACCCCCCCCCCCAAGCACGCACACACATACACCCTTCCACCCCCTCTTCTTCTGCTACCTACCGTTCTCCATCTACAGTAATTGCCCTGCTTAGTTTTATTACGGCATCTGTGAATGTGACAGCTCAATCAGTGGATTGGCCTTTCATGAGCACAGCACCCAAACAGCGCTTTGTGTCTGTCTGTCCCCATTACCATTTTATATGCACGCACACCTGCGGGCAATTTCCACCTCCAACTGCCTCCAAGGGTATTTTAAAAATAAAGCATTTCTATTGTGCTGAAGGAAACTGTGTCACAGGTTCAAAAGAACAATGGTGAATAAAAGTGCCATTGCCTTTCTTGCATATTAAAAAGGAGACAGTTTCAGTCTTTCAGAAAGAATTGTTTAATTTGAAGCCAACAGAGTAGATGTGGCGTTTTGGTGCTTGCTTTAGCTGCAGAATAAATTCAGTTCATATTATATATACTGGTGTTTTGAGTGCATACTACTGTATCTAAAGCACAGCTTCCATACTATTCTGAACAGTTTACTGTGGCAAATGGCACTATGAGAAGTTGTCATGGAGATGCTCGATGGTGTGCGAAATGCTGCCACACATACAGTATGGAAAACATGTTATTACACACCATATTTAAGTCCCTTTTGTTGGCAGCTGTGAGAGTAGTATTGACTGTGTAATCCCTGAAATTATAAAACACTATAGAGACTGTTGGTACCCGTCGACTCTGATTTCACCTTTCTATCTATCTATCTATCTATATATATATATATATAATAATATTTATATTCTATATATATATATGGGGTGCAACGATACACAAAATTCACGGTTCGGTTCGATATTTTTTCGATACAAAAAAAATGTTCATGCCTTTTTAATTTGTCATTTATTAAATTTTCACGGCACATTCCGCACCACATCTCTGTGCGTTCATCATTTGTTTGAAGCCAGCTCACCTCCTGCAACTACTTTTCCGAGAATACGTGCTTCTTTTGTGGTTCGGACTCCTTCTGACATTTCTTTGGAGGTGGAGGAACATCACAGTAATTGCTTAAAGGAGCTTGCTTCTTCGACATCTTTAAGAGTTCTAAACAAATGTCTGTCCTCCTCCTGAAAATCTTATGTACGCAAACACGCGTTGCAACTTCTTATCTTGTGCCCGTTTTTTATTTTGACAGCGAATGCGCACCTGCGGACCACTTATGTGCAGCCCTGGTTATTTCGCTTGTCATATTGCAGCCACAGAAATTCTTTTGTCCATGAAACCATAAAGCTGCACTTTCTTTTTGCCTTATAGTCTGATTTGTCATAACTTTTCCGTTTTGTGGTAAGCTTTTCTTTGGCTGTCACTTCTTCACCCTGACCTGTCTTATTTGGCTCAGCAGAACTAAAATATTGTGGCGAGCTCAGACAAGGAGGAGACGGAGGTATCGTTTGGTCTTGCTTCCCGTGAGCTAGCCAGGGAGCACAGCCGTTTATTGACATCTGCAGAAGAACACTGCCGCTAGCTAACTGCTCAGCGCGGCAACAGCACAGCAACAACAACAACAACAACAACACACAGGGCGCCCTCTGACCCCGGAAGGACACACCGTCGCAGCGAGAGGGCGTCACCCGTCACTATGGCAACATAAACAAAACATAACTGTACAAACAGAACCCCGAACAGCCCTGACCCGCTACATAGCCCCCACCTAAGGGGTCAGTCGTCCCCGACGACCCCATTACCCCACACAAAGTCCTGCAAATGTCCAGGTGCCTTCTTTTGGCGCACCGGCCGGTCACGACCGGCGGGGGAAAAGTCACTCGGGTCAGAACATGGGGTGCCACCATCATCCCACTTCTGACACCAATGTGGCGAGCTCAGACAAGGAGGAGACGGAGGTGTCGTTTGGTCTTGCTTCCCGTGAGCTAGCCAGGGAGCACAGCCGTTTATTGACATCTGCAGAAGAACACTGCCGCTAGCTAACTGCTCAGCGCGGCAACAGCACAGCAACAACAACAACAACACACAGGGCGCCCTCTGACCCCGGAAGGACACACCGTCGCAGCGAGAGGGCGTCACCCGTCACTATGGCAACATAAACAAAACATAACTGTACAAACAGAACCCCGAACAGCCCTGACCCGCTACAATATATATCCTGCTGCTTTTACACACGCACTCACATAACGCTCAGCGATTCTCTGCGCGATCAACCTCTCACATGTTTAAGCTTGCTGCGGGAGATTTCACTTGTCATGTTTGCATAGTAAGCTAACGATTGATAAGACGATGTCAGAGGAATTGGTGCGCAAATTATCATCACTCACCAATCAGTGCTGTCGCTCTCTATACACAGTTCGCCGATTGCAAAGTGAAAGCAAAAAACAAGCGCAAATTCAAACGCGATTTCAATATGTCACATATTGACAGTGGCTCACCGATGCCAATGACATAATTACCCAGCTACATTTCCGAAAGAATGCAAAAGCATTGACATATATTTTTCCTTCCTACATAGCCCGACGGGCAGGGCAGAGATAGATTTTGGTAGCCCGACTGGAAAAATCGCTAGCCCGACTTTTGCGAGCCCTGTATCTGATTGAGGAATCACTCATCTTTGGAAAAGAGAGTTTATTACAGAGAAATGGCTCTTTCCAAAATAAAAGCTATACTATACGCTTCTTCTGGGCTATATTCTCAGCAGCATATTAAACATATCAGGTCCCCATAAGGAAGAATCATGTGCTAACGGCTGTCTAAATGACTCGGGTAAAGTTTGTAGCATGCGTGCTTGTTGTTTTTGTCTGCTTCCACTTGTCTTTGCACTAGGATGATGTCGGTGTAAATGTGCAGTCATATTCGTTGTGTTCCCACTAGTGCTGTCAGCGTAATCTCGTTGAAATGACGTTAACGCCACAACACGGCAAATCTCCGTTAACGAGCTACCGCGGATCGCCCCGTGCATGGGGCTGGACGGCCAACACGTTAACGAGCTAACTGCGCTAACACACTAGCTCCCACCCATGTAATTGAGCATTGCGTGGCACATCCAACATACTGTTTTACTTTAGTCCATGACGCGCTTACCTTCAGGGTCATACGTCACATGAAAACCAAAATAGTTCCAAACGCCAGATCTGAATGAGGGTGGGGGAGGTTCAATTTGCCATGTTGCAAGGAGAGCTTAACTTCTGTCTCGCTAGCTTGCCCTGCGCTCAGTGAATCTGCGTTCGACTACTCCGCCTAGGCTGCACTGTCGAGCGCAGATCCACTGAGCGCTCAACACAGACAGCATCGTCAGAAGGAAAGTTGATAAAATAAATTAAAAATTTTGTATTGTTCGATACATATGCGTACCGAACCGAAAGCACTGTATCGAACGGTTCAATATCGATACGAGTATTGTTGCACCCCTAATATAATATTATATATATATATATATATATATATATATATATATATATATATATATATATATATATATATATATATATATATATATATATATACTATATATATATATATATATTTATATTATTATTTTTATATTTTATATATTTATATATTATATATTTATATATTATATATTATATATTTATATTATATTTTTTTTTTTTTTTTGTTTTTGTGTATATATATATATTTTTATTTATTTTTTTAAATTGTATAACAATTACATTTTGATAATATAGCCCCATTTACTGGGCTTTGCCATTGTTATCACAAGGTGCCTTCAGTGCACTACAACCCTAGATGATAGAGCTTTTGACTAGCTTTGATAAATCAGATATTTTTAAGACATGGACCAGAAATGGCTTAAACAGTTGGAAAAGGGTCCTTTTTAATGAATCAGGCCCTGGGCTTTGAAGCTGGCACAAATCTGCCCAATTATTCCCACAGTGACCTGGGATTCAGGTAATGAGCAAGGTTCTGGAGCGTGTCATTAAGGGCAATATATTAGGCTAATAGAAATCATCAATATCAGGCCTTTTGAAATGGTGTAAAAGCTTGTCTAATCAAGCAGCTTCACAGACAAGCAGAACATTACCAACACTATTCTCTAGATGAAATCCTCTGACGTGCTGTTGCAGGAGGATGGGATAGGGCTGGTATAATGGCTTCCATGCACTTTTGTTTTTCTGAAAGGAGGCAACTCACATGTTATTAACATAAGGTCTGTTACCTGAGATTGCTTTCTGCCCATCGTGACTGAGCAGAATATGAAATGAGCTTCTGATAGACACGAGGCCATTTTATCCCCTTGTGGCCCATTCATTGCTTTCAAGCCATGCTTTTATTCGTTAGCCTTCTTTCGCGGCACACTTTTTGCCCACAAAAGGTTCTTTGATGCATTTCATCCAGGGTGCTTTAACCCTTTACGGAGTTTCTCTTAAGGAGAACAGAATTGAAGCAAAGAGAAGGGTAAATATTCTAGAAAAACTACTGAGGGGAGTTTCTGAGGGTACAAAGCTTTCTCCAACAATCCAAAGACACGCATTTCAGTTTAACTGGTGATTCTAAATCGGCTTTAGGCGTGGATGTGAGAGTGTGAGATTGTCTGTCTCTCTGCGTTAGCTCTGTGATGGACTGGCAACCTGTTGAGGGTTTTCCCCATCTCTCTCTGTGGCAGCTGGGATAAGCTTCAGTTCCCTTCATGAACCTAAGCTGCGTAAGTGGTTAAAAAAAACTGAAAATGCAAAGTTCTGTTTTAATTGTGTTTTTTTGACCGAGGTTGTAAGTCAGATTAATTTGTGTTGGGTAGGAGAAAATGAAGGAAAATGTAAACCGACAATGTTCACTGTCATTTTTCATTTTATAGTTCTGCTAAGAAATTGCTGGAAAAAAAAAATACATAGAACAATTTGATTTAAACTAACCTAAAGTTGTGGCTTTTGCATAGTTCACCGTTCCAATTACCTTCAACAGCTGGACTCAGTATATGATAGTGCCATGGTGAACTGTCTGGTTGAAAAGTAAAGAACTAACAGAAAACAGTGCAGCTTTTATCCATTTACAGGAAGTAAATTTTTTAGAAAAGTTAAAAAAAACAAACAAACAAAAAACGTAATCCTTTGTTGTCACATTAAACAAATTAACGGCACTGATTTTTTTTCTTCTTTCTAGCAGTTGTTTCAGAAACCTTTACAGACCTATGAATACAACCATCACCAGGGAAAATTAACAGTTGGCCAAGAAATGGCTGCTCAATCTGTCACTTGAGGTTTTTTCCAAATGCTAAAAAAAAAATCATGTATTATTCACACTCTGTAAAATCTAGGATGGATGAGTACACCTTACATATAATTCTGATGTACAATAAAGGCCGAAAGATGTGATTAAAGGGAACCGGGAAACTAAATGTAGGAAACGCTGCCAATTAAACTTCAAAGGCAAGTCAAGATAATTGTACTGGAATGAAGAACAGAGTGAAAAATATATTACGAGACTGCAACAAAGTGGATCAATAAAGAACAACAAGGGTTTGCAGTACTGGCTTGATAATAGCTTCAGCATTCTGTCCTTGACTCAAACAATGGTTGCTCTTCACTGTTTATTGAAGGGCCTCACCATGGTAACTGGTCATGGCTGAGATTCTGAAAAGGGTCTTTTCCCCCCGCTTCTTTTACCAAATAATTACGAGTTTGCTTTATTGATCCGAGTCAGTGTAAAACAGGGACTGTCAAATCAAACCCAACTTTATTTTTGAAATGTATTTATTTTGTATTTATTTTGAACCTTGATGCCTCTATGTCCCCATACAATACATTCAATATATACATTTGGCCATGAGGGACTGTACAGAGATATGTTGAAGTAGTGCATACATACATGGCACGAAAATGTACACAAAGAAAACTCAAAGTTTCCACTTTACCACAGTCAAGTCTCAGGGCAAGTCTGTGGCTGATGGCTGCTTACACCAGTGCACACACATGCGCGCGCGCGCACACACACTCACTCATTCAACAAACACTGCTTCAAGCATGCACATTGTGTGTGTACGTACACCAACACACACAAGCTTTAAGACACTTCCGAGGGAGGAGAAGGGTTCTTTCAGGTTCTCATAAATAGATACACAAACGTAAAGAGAGTGTCTGCTGACTGCATCACCCTTTTTTCAAGAACACCCTCTCCTCTGTCTCCTTTATTCTTCTTCTACATCTTTCCATCTTCTTACTCTCCAAAGCTAAGGCCTCTCTCTAGACAGTGCTGCCATCATACGCAGGATCTTTCCTATAGTAGGGTAACACTCATCAGCAGCAGTAACTTAATAAAGAGCTACTTTCAACATTTGATCTCTTAAGTAGTGAACATTCACAACATAAAGAATTCAACACACACACGGTTAATTTTAAATTTGCATTTCCTATTTGGATATCTTCTCTCGAGAAGCACATAGGTCCACTTCAACAATGCACTATTCCTCGATAAAGCTGCAGTGCCATGATGAGACACCCTCATGCGATAACAGCACCTGTCTCTTCACTTAATGCACCAGCAAAATATACCTCTAAATACATACCACATTCTGCAGTTTATTTTTTACTAATGCCACTCTAGTGATTAAATTTCTTCCTGGCAGACATCTTGTACCATCACATTTGTCATTAACATTTGTAGGAGGCACACACCTGACATTTTCCCTTCAATGACTGTAGTTTATAGTTGCATAGCACACAGCAGAGATAGTATTAAAGCCAAAAGTTAATTTGGCTTTATACAGAGTGGTCATGCTCACATAAGCCAGTTTCTAACTCTTAGTGTCTGTAACTTTTAGGTAGGACTAAAGCCTCTCCCCCCCCCCCCAACTTTTTTTTTCTAATTGCTCATTAAACCAATGAGTTTTTCAGCTCATAAAAAAAGTTCACCAATGAAGAAGAAGTTTGGTCACACATGCATCAGGCAGCCTTATTAAAATCACTTCGCGGTGCGACTACTGTTGGAAAATCGGCTTCTTCGGCTTATAATTTGCCAGTAACATTAGAAGCAAGCATGTCATTACTTTGAGTTGTTAAAATCCAATCTGCTTAATGAAAGAATACAGGAAGAAAGGGGGTAAAAAAAACAACAACAAACAAATAAAACAAATAAAATAAAATAGTAAGCCATAGGTGGGGGGGTAGAGGTGACAATCTAAGAGGTTTGAGCTGTACCTGTCACCAGGGGAAAGCGGGGTTAAAAAAATAATAATAAGAAAACGACTGCAATTCTGAGTGTGTGCACACATTCTCATGTGCATACAAATACTGCACACACAGACCTGTTGGACACATGCATACTCACGCTTACACCTAGTATAGACATCTGGAGATTTTAATGAAAAGTGGAAGCATGACAGGTTGAAGGTCGGTGATTATCCGGTTTGGACACGCTGGACTGTAATCGATGTGTGTGCGGACGGGTACGCAATCGTCTCTCACACGAGGTTTGACAATCCTGTTGGACAGGAGACGCGGTGACTCGTGTCCCAGAGTGAGGCCACCGAGGCAAACTTGCACTTAGCAGAACTGGAAACAACAAAAATGCTGAAGCACCACAGCAAAAGAGGCTGGAGTAGTCCCATGAAACACGATCACGTTGGCACAGAACGATGAGGGTGGGGGTTGGGGTTTGGGGTGGGGGGGGAACGGGCCAATCACAAAGGAGTAACACATCAGTAATAATCACCCCAGAATAAATTACAGTCACAGAACAATTGTTAAAAGCAGAATCAGAAATCAACTGATCTAAGCGGACTGATTTGACCCATGCATTTTATAAGGCATTAACCAAACATTTCTTACTGACGTTGCACAGTATTATAATAGTGACTATACATACAGTTGCTGATCTGAAAAAACAAAAAACTGCTTGTGTTTTCATAAAACAAATCTCAGATTAATTGTATAAAAAAAAAAAAAAAAAAAAAAAAGCATATTCCTAAAACTAATGATGCATTCTTTAAGGGAATTGGGAATGTCGAAGAGAGAGCAGATCGATGTCTGCAATCCCATTGTACCTATTGATCTGCACATGGGCGAATGAAATTGATTTTCTGAGGTAGACAATACAAGCATATTTCATTCTCCCGATGCAAAGCCATTCTAAGCAGGGGTAGTGGGGATAATTTGGTCCATTTGGACAGGCTCTGGTCTTTAGCCTCAGCCAAATGTACTGTGTCAGATGGGTTGACCCATCCATCATGCTCTCCTGCCTGTCTCAACACCACGGTACTTACATTGTCACTGGTGTGATACACCCACTCAGTGATGGATAGCAGACAACATGCACTATGACAAGATAGAGAGATCAGTCTGCACAGCTCACAGGCTTGTTGTTTCCACGCAGCTGGGGACGCTCCATTCATACACAGCCAGTTTATTTAATATCCCGGCCACTGTATGAGGCACACGTGGACAATATCGCTCGACATGCATCATAAATGTTGCTTCCCTTACAGAGGTCTTATAATCTTCAAATCCCCTTTGCAATATGATTACAGTAGCAACAGAGCCTAACCGAATGAGACACTCAAACAAACATTTCAAATATAATCGTCATTTTGTGTACTCACAGGACACAGGGTACAACAGTTTATGCTAAAAGGTAAATCCCAGTGACAAACGTTAAGTTGTACCTTTCTTTTTCTTTACGTCTTAAGTGCTATGGGTAATCAGCTCAACAGTCAGTGAAATGATGTTCTGTAGATAGTCAGTCTGATCTACTAAGCAGATGTCTATCATAAATAAAATAAAATAACATAACATAACATAAAATAAAATAATAAAAAACTTCTGCAAATCTGAGTCTGTATGTATGAGATAGTAAGCAGAGGGCCTTCAAACAGGTCTGGAATCTGTTGGCCAGTGAGGTGAGTCAAGATCAGCAGTTTAGGATGCCACTGTTCATCTTCCCGTGAGCCTAGTGGGCTCTTTCCAGAGGGACAGGAAACAGCGAGCCACAGGTTGGCCCAAAGTACTGCAAAGCAGATGCCTGCAAGAGACCTGGAGCACTATAGTGTCCTGATGGCTACAGGGTAGAGCAGGGACATATGTTCAGCACCTTTGATGGGCAGCTTGCGGCTGGAGTAGAAATGGATGATCTCAGGCACGCTGTCGAAAGGGCAGCTGTTCTGGCCCAGGATGTACTTGTTCTCCTTGGTCCGTGACAGCTTCATGTGCATGAAGCCCTGGCTACTCCTGGAGACAGAGGAAGACAGAAAAAGCTCAAAACAAAATTCTGATCTTTACAAGACAAAACCAGATTATTTTTATCATGCTCTGACACAAAAAAAATCTTTGAAAAAAATAATTTGTTTTGTCCCCACTTCCTATATTTCAGGAGCAAAGAGGCCTTTCCTTGCTTCAGGCTCTGTCCTTTCACCCAAAAAGGAATTTGATGACAGTCCATTCAGCTGACGTAAAGACATTTCACTCAAAACCGTCAAAAACAGTCGAGCCAATTTGTAAATGTTCTAAATACTGTAGTTGGGAGATATCAGTATGGATCAAAGCTACGTATTGACCGATTAGCGAGCAGACTGATATTGCCATTCCTGGAGTCACACCACAAGCATGCCTTAAAAAACGCTCACAAGAGACAACAAGTATGTCAAAAGCATCAATCTATGGGAGTCCCAACAGATATCCTCTTTTGTCAGCTTCCCCTCATTTACTTCTCCAGTAGTTGTTCCCCACAGTATGTGACAGCGCTCTGAAAGCTGGATTACCTCTGATAACTTTGGAGGTGTCAGGGGAGGGGACTAAAAGGCAGGTTGCTTAAGGTGCTGGGTTTCACATGCAGTGCATAAGGATGAGGCTAATGAACCCCCAGGATAAATCACTCAAGCTGCAGCAATAAATGCACAGCAAATTAAAAGCTCCCCGCGTGTTCCAAGGAGCCTTCGATCAATACATTTTACAGCTTGCCAGTAATCTTCTGCTTTAAAATAGAAAATTACTTTTTTTTTTCCCACTTGGGAAGAGATGCAACAGTAAGCTTTAGCGAGTAAGTGACACAAAACTAATGTTCACTGTAGCATGTTTTGTAAATATTCTCTTTTAGTAATTTGACTTTACAGACTAAATTAGCATAACAGCTTTTTCAATCAGCAGCTAATACCTCCAGCAGGTTATGATTGCTTTAGGCACAGTTCATTGACATTATAACCTGTCCTCAAAAATAAAGTGCACCAGCACCTGCCTAACATTTATTTTTTGGAAAATAAACTCTCGTGCAAAAGTTAACCACATGTAGTAATAAAACTCCTATTTTTCACTAACCTAAGGATAACAGCTGTCAAGGTATTTACTTATGAGGCCAGTCAGTATAATCTACACTATTTCATTCTGTGCTTCAAAGTTTATACTGAGCAGGGCTCTTGTGAAAACTGTGAAAATGCACTAACCACAACAGACAGGAGCAGTGGGCTGTCAAGGCTGTTGATGAGGCTGATCACATGAAGCAACTACAGCAAATAAATTTATGTTTTTCCACAGTAAATATATGCATATTTTTGTAGTTATGCCCATTATCTTTGATGAACAGGAGTGACAACTTGGCTTTAGGCACCTGAAGCATCAGGCCGTTCTTTACTTATCTCCTAATTGCATGTATGATGCCGGTGGATATGTTCTCTCTCTGATGCACAGAGAAAACCCAGAACAAAGATAGCAATAAGATGAAAGGAAAAACAAAAAAAACCAACAACAAAATACATATACACATATACATACATATACACATATACATACATATAAATACACACACACACACACACACACACACAAACAAACACACACACACACACACACACACACACACACAGATTCAATTTAGGGACACTGATCAGGAATAAAGCACAGATAAAGAAGTGCGTGTTTTGGGGTTAGCATGATTGAGATTATTACTATAAATATCCAAAATATTTCAAAGCTAGTTCGGAGCTTTTTATGTGTAAGAACTGAAACAAAAAGCTGCAGGATTTCTAAGCCATTAAACTGAAATACACACGAGTGCCACCTCTCCATTATTGTGCAGATTTCCAAATTTCCGTTGCCACGGGTCTCTAAAATGCTATGATTCTGCAAATGGTGCTTTCAGAGCTCATTTACAAAAAAAAAAAAAAAAAAAAAAAAAATCTTTCCTGCAAAGTGCATTTGATGAATCTTCACATGGAGCGCTGGGAGAAAGGTGTTAGGTTACACAGAGGCACACTTAAAAAGGCAAACACATCAATAGCATCATTTTTAGATTCCCAGCTGATTTTCCATTTGGTGCTCAAAGCTGCTTATTATGTTACAGTCCTGCAGAGACAGAAACCAGGACAACAGAGCAACACGGCAGTGTTGCTGATAAAATGAATACGGGGCTATTTTTGAAAAGACAGGCCTTTGTGGTGTTATCATAACACTGTGTTCGTGAACTTATATTTGTCTAATCAGGATTAATCTGACTGGGGAGGTGTGCTGTCTTGTTTATTGAGGTTTATGACTTTGATTTAAACCGAGTACCACTCAGAGCAGGAACAGCCTGACAGCAATCACAGCTTATCTTCTCCTTCCATATATTGGATGGCTTCATGATTGATACTCTCTGTGTTATGAATCTAAGGCAGCAGAAAAAGCAAAGTCATATGCCAACAAGATAGTGAACCATAGCAAAAGGGCTGACCTTTTTAAGCCTTTCTGGGCATCGGATGTCGTATGTACTCATGATTTTATATTAGCATACACTAAACCTCCCTGGGATGATACCATTCTGTACGTTATCGACGCTAAGGTAAGTGGGTGAAGTGGCAGACAAATAAACATACAAACAACTCTTGGCATAGTTTTGTTCTTCGGCTGAGAAAGGTCAGGCTAATTTTTGTGCTCCATGCAGTCATTCGTCTATTATGTGTCATAATATGAAGCTGACATTTTGCATCTAAAAATGTTCAAAAATAGTGTCTTTGGAGGTGTTCCAGCGATAGAACACACCAGTAAGTTGCTAACTTACCCCATTTACCCCACTGGCATCAAACAGTCTTTGGGATACATTTCCCCTCCTCAACCAGTGGAAACAGGCTCTGCAGAGCTCTCTCGTGACGTGAAAAATGAAATGACACTGTGCTTTGAAAGCCCTGCGAAGGCTTTAATACAACTCAAATACCAAAAAAAAGGTTCTCTCCACTGAGAGTAAAGAAGAGGAGCAGGTGGAGACAGGTGAACATAAAAAGGGGTTCAGGAGGGAAAAGCAGACAAAAATGCTTTCCGTAAGGCCAGAGGACTCTTGAGGCAGGAGGTCTCAGTGACGTCTGTCTTTATCAATAATGCAATACACATATGTGGCACCTCGCGGCCTCATACATTTTTCAGTAACCTCAGACATGTCGGATCTTCACCTTGGGTTTCCACTCATTTTCTGTGGCAGCAGGGGAGACGGGCTTGAGTGAGGAGGCTGAACTCATATTTGTAGGGACCTGCCATTTCCACAAATGAGCATGACGATCGTTTTCTAGGTTTCGGCTGGTTTACATCAAGGGCACAAGATTCTATAACCCAAATGTGCTGGCACACAGTTGCACAGAAATTATGAACAATCTGCTGTTATTTAAGTCTATCAATACAAAAATAAGAAGGTTAAACTCCTAAGATGTTTGGTTGCTTACAACTTTAAGATCTCATATGGTTAAAGTGAGCTCCCGCAACAGGGTGTGGAATAACAGGGGGAAACCACTGATTTCCAGTGCTATTGGCAGACCACAGCTATTCCCAGGCAACATTAAACCTCATTCTACTTAAGATTCCAAAAAACCTTGAAAGTAGGCCCTGGAGCGAAACGCTCTAACAGACAGTGAAAAGGTATTCCTAAAGTGCTCGAGACACTTTATTCTATAGTTCTCACTAAGTCGAGACGAGTAAATAATTCTGCATCAACACTAATGACCTCATCGGCATGGCCTTTGTCCTCTCCTTGTTTTCAGACTGACAAACAGCTATTAAATGTGTCACAGAAGCCAGTCAACGTTTTATCTCTTAAAAGAGTAACCATCAGAAAAGCGCAGTGTCAGGGGAGCAGAAGGATCCGACCTCACGAAAACACTTTCCAAACGGTTCTCTGATAGTACAGGCCATTATTATAAAGGTCCATCTGAACATCCTTTAAATGTGGATTAGTGGAATGAGACCATTACTGAACTAGAAGGTTAAAACATGTTTTAACCTCTCATCATTAAATACAACTTTACTGACCATTGCTCTTATCGTGGCCTGGCTGTGTTCAGTATAGAAAAAAAAAAGTTAAATAAGTTTCATGGCTCCAGGCCTTCCTCACTCCCCCGCCTCCCTTCTCCCTCACTCAGATAATCTAACAATCAGCTATTTCATTACTGGAGGTAACCCCAATGGCATTAGACGGCCAGTCTCTTTTTAAACATACGAGAGAGATGGATGGATTAATACTCTCAAGCCTGGCACAAATTATACACTACATTTTCATATTTCAAAATGGGGCTTTTGCTTATTAGAGAGGCTTTCGTCAAACTCGCTGTCTTCATCATTACTCTGCATATCATCATCCCGCAGCAAAAATATTCACTTGTTATCTTTACCATTTTGTTAAAAAAAAAAAAAGCAGACTTTTTACTTTTCTAGATCACATATTCAGGTTTGCACTTTACACACATCAATATGTGTCTTTTGAGTGCTAAACAAGTTATTTTTGTTGCTTAAACTGACATTATTACATATTCCTAACTCCAAGGAAAATTCTTTTGGTTTTACTTTCCCAGTAACTTCATATTAGACTGTTTTGTGTGCCAGTCTTCTACAATGACTATGCGATAAAACATCTGTGCATTAACTGTTAACATGTCTGTTTGTCTTTTTATAGTGCTTAGCTTTAAGCATGCATTTACGACACAATGCATTTAATTCAAAATGACAACATTTGGGACAATTGTTACATATTCAGACAAATATTTTTCTCCTGCTGTTTGCAGTCATCCAAAAGCCAGTGTACTAAGTCAGCATCCTAACAGTGCGTCTTCTTTTCAGTCAGCAAGGCAGAACAAGAAGCAGTCATACAGATGATCAGCCAATGAGACAGGGAGTTACACAGGCAGTCGACTACGGTACTGTCAAGAGAATTGGAGCAGCAGCAAGCAGAATTATTATCTTTGTCTTCCAAGTTATATAAGCCTCCAGCAGGCTGACTCCACTCAAAAAACAAAGGCTAATCAATGTGTCTCTACATACTACAGTTTTATTTCATCTGATGGCTCCCACATAGTTGCAGAGATTTTTCTAAATGTCATGGGACTGAACCTTGCCTGCAATGGTTAATGGAGCATAAATAAAGTCAGTTTGACAAGACTATTTGTTAACAGATATCGAAGCCGGTTAAACACTGTTGGTTTTGGAAGACTTTCAGGCCGTTTCATATTTCTGATTATGTTTCCGACGCCGTAGCCGTGACACCTGGTAGCAACGATCGTCAAAACAAATCCAGCAAAACTCCACATTCCTATCAAAGTGATGGGACTGCACTGTAGGACTTCAGGCTAAAGTAACCTCTTCCAACTGTCAGGCTACACGTAACATTTCAGAGTAGCTTTTTTTCGAACCCTCTGCTGGACGCGGCGGGGATCAGGAGGTCAACGATGAAAGTGCACCATTAGCCAAGTTGCGGGTACATCAGCAATTCGAGGAGCAGATTCTGTCAGAGGGGTTACTGAGCGGAGGTGGAGGACGAGCCACGGGCAAGGTGTACAGCAGGTGGGGGATAGAGGTCTGAAGGGTGAAAGCTATTACCATACAGAAACGGAAGAGTCAGCAGGTATGTCCGCACCTCGACAGGGAATGATGTTACACTAGTCCACTGTGTGTACTCTGCCACTAAGTAAGTGTAGCTACTATGATAGGTCACACTGTTTCGTGAGTGTGTGTTCCGTGTACAAATCACTGACACAAGTTGTCACAACAGGCAAAACGGCCCCGAGTGTTTGGAATCACATTTTCACCAAGGCTGCCAACCGAAACTGTGCATCTGATTATACTGTTTGTGGATGGTCATTTAGGAGACGAGAGCAGAGTTCTTACTTGAGAGAGAGGGAGTAGTCGTTCTTGCTGGTCTCACTGTTTCTCACAAGATAGCTGGCCTCCTTACAGAGCCTAAGCAGAGACTCTGCATCTGTTCGGCTAATGGCTCCATGGTACCAGCTATAGCAAACGACAGGAAACGAGGATGAGAAAGGAGGAACAACAAAGGAATGTTAAGTAAGAAAGAGTCAAAGCTGCTAAAGAAAAACCAAGATTTGACTCACAACTGGCTTTCCAGCGGCATTGTGGGATCGATACGTTCCCCGAGAGAGGAGCTGCAGTGGTCCAGTGAAGTCATTTTGGTGTTGACCAGACAGCCACTGGAATGTCGCTGCAGCGGCCGAGTTTTCCCCTCCTTGGTGGGCGACATTCGAGACTTCTCCACACCATCAAACTGGACTGTAATAAGAGAAAATACAGCTGAAAAGATTTCATTCTGGACAGATTTGATAGTTCAAAATGGCTCTTAATAAAGACAAACACCTGTAAACACCATTGAGCTACACTTCAGATTAAGGTCACTTGGAAAAACAAATTGTGTTTACAAGTTACAACATCCACGGTGTCACATGTATCAATTAAACTCGACTACTGCAAAGTGTGAGAACCAAAATCCACGCTGTGCTTTTACCAACTTTCACACACGCGCACACACAGAGCCGCTCTGTTTAACTCATCCTACTGAAGGACATGTACACATGATGAAAGAGACATAAATCAATCTAGCTTGCCCGTGTACACATTCCAGTCTCCTCTTCCCCCTGTGCAACCTTCCTCCAAAACAAGCTCATGCGCCTGTAAATAATCCCATATATACTACTGTATGGCTGAGCATTTTCACTCTTTAAGTACACGCAAATGTGCACACACTTAAGTGCACGCCCAACTCCAACACCCAGGTTCTGCAAGTTAAACATTGAACTAGCTTTTCAAACTCTCACGGTCAACTGTGGACATGACAAGCTCTCTTGGCAGCCTCACAGGGAAGTGTTTGATGGTGTTTGGGGGCTTAAAGGGACCTATGCGCACACATGAAATGCCAGGGGTCACGGGGCAACTTCACAGCCAATCAGCAAACAGAAGATAATGCTCTCAAGGACAAATTAAATGTGAATTTACACTTGTGGGAAAGAGTTGCACAAGCTAAAGGAATAAAAGGCTGGACAGTGGATGTAAGAGTAATTATCATGCGTCACAGGCAGCTGAGACATTTTTCCTCAGTAATCCATCACTGTGCTTCATGCCATAACATCTAAAGCTTCTGAAATCCCCCCCCCCAAAAAAACAAACAAACAAAAAAAACTATTTAAAGCTACTGACACGCTTCTCAAGCAATAACAGAGGGGCGGCTTCCTACATCAACCGTATGACAAGCTTTTCCTGGTTATTGTCGCCTGCTTCTATATGGCTCAAGACCAACAGATAGCCATTTTTGTTTTTTTGATGGAAGTGGTTAATGTCGTATGAAACTCGCATCTACTAGGCAACATCAATCTTTGCTGCTCTCTGTCACTAATGGCCATCCTTGCATCTAGTGTTTAATTACCAGGCAGAACACAGCAGACACTATACACAGAGACAGGCAGTGTGATCTTAACAACACGTCTACATCTGTCTAGACTCTGCATTCCAGTCAGAGGATAGCATTACACTTTACAGATTGTGAGCTTGCCAAGTGCCTCTGTATCACGCTGAGTGGAAGGGCTGACAGTTTAAATCAATTCAACACTACTTACTACAAGTAGTTTACTTGAGTATTTAGATGTTGTGCCACTTTATTGCTCACCTCTATGACATTTCAGCTACAACTGATACATGTGTTTCTATAGAGCCTGCTCGTTTTCAAGATATTTCATTTAAAAAGAAACAAAAAAAAAAAACCCCACATGATCAGCTTATAAAATGCAATTAAATGATAAAGAGTGTTACCATTCAAAAAAAGCTGGTTAGTGGTTGCTGTCATGTGTAAAGTTATTCAATGTTTAATTACCAGCAATTAAAACAAGTACTTTAATTATAGTAATTAAAAGAAGTGCCACTTCCATTAACAGTGAACTACTGCTTATTAACTCGGGATATCGGAAGAAAAGCTTGTAATGAAGTATTTTTACAGTAGTGCAGTTGTAGTCCTTTAGGAATATCTTTTCTTTTTCGAATACTTTCTATGACATACCATGATGTCATCGCAAGCAGTGCTTTTTTTTGACAGATTACAGCTGTTTCAGGTCTGACCACTAGGGGCTCCCCTTAACCTCCACACTCTACTTGCGGTTGAACTCGTTGGCCTTTGGCTCAATGATGCGATTCCCCAAACATAAACTCATGGAAATGATCATTTCAAATCATTCCGGCTGTTATCTTTGCCTCTGCACATTTGTTCATTAAAGGCCGGCAGCGGGCTGGTAAAATGACAGCAAAATTGTACTGTTGCATGACAGCTGGGTAAATTCTAGGTCTCACCCTTGGAAGAATACAAGTTGCTGATCCATGTCCTTGAGGTCTGTCGCTCCTAATATAGTAATTCACATTATGATCCCGTGTTGTGTCTGCATTATTTTATATCATAGAGTCCATTTAAATTACATGCTGAATACTGGGAATTTGATCCAAGTCAGATGAATATATTGTATATGTGTAAAGGTGAGAAATGGCGTTTCCATGGAAACTGACCAAGGGGACATGGAAGATGCATGTTTGTTCCATTCAGCCCCTGTCAATGCTGACAGATCACAACATGAAGATGGAGCCAATTGCTCCCTGTCCTTTGCTTTCGATTTCTCTCTGTTTGCATGTGTCCAACCTTCTTCTGCCCTTTGCCTTCTCTTCTATCACTCTTGCCTCATCATTCTAACTCGGACTTTTTCCCCGAGCTCTCTTGCCACTCAGTGGTAGAAACAGATAGGGGAAAATGGACTGTGGAGGAATGTCTCCACAGGAAAAAAGGGGTGTTTTGATCTGTTATCTCTGATGGTCCCACTGCAGGGCAGACTGTCGCCAATTACACCTACTACTACAACAAAACCCTTAAACAGTCTACTTGCACTTCCATATTGAGAATTGACTGTGAACATAATATTATCATCTCTTCACTGATTAGTGACGCAACCATAAGAGGCTGGAAAAGGTATCAGACATCGTTAAGGATACAGGATGCAATCTTGGCTTTTCCCTACATAGTCCATATTGTATCTACAATCCACTCACCCATGTGCCTGACCTCAGCTCTTCACATTTCCCTCCTCTTACCCAGACACAACAATCAGTGATTTATTTGATCGTGATTAAACTGTTTTTTTCCGCCTCTCTGCTACCAAGAAAGGGTGGGTTGAGTGGCTATTCTTAGTGTAGCTCACCCCGTCAACCTTTCTTGTCAAAGTGGAGGCTTCACTGCAGGCAGAGTGCAGTGCTCTACAAGGAGAGTATTACCCTGAAGAAAGAGCCCCCCAAACTAAACAAAAGCCATCATTTTTATTTGCTCAAGAGTGAATGGACTCATGTCTGCTTTGTTAGCTGGGCGCCTCACCATCACCATTCCGAAACTGATGTAGAGTTATGTTTTAAGGCAGAAAATCAGTGGGAGTGAGGCAAACCAATTCCCCTCTCTCATTCTCCAGAGCACACAGTTCGAAACATGGACGACAGGAGATTGACGAGAGGATTGGCCCACGGGGGAACAAAAGCCGTAAGAGGAAGCTTAAGAGGGACGAGAGGGTGAAAACCTCCACACGCACGCACACACGGTAACACACTTCTCTTGAAATAAACACATAAAAGGCACATGGGCAGCTGTGTATGTTATCAGAATTGTTGCTTGTAAAGCACTGCAAATGGAATTTGTGTATCAGATTGAACTGTCAGTCAGATGGTGACAGATGGCTGAAAGACCTGTCCCCTTCAGACACACAGCTTCCTTTAGAGACAACTATATAAAAAAAAGAAAAGTAAATAACACGCACCCCCCCCCCCCCCCCCCCAACACACACACACACACACACACATATAAGAGGATGGGGAAAGAGTGCATGACAGAGCGAGCTGATTGGCTAAGGCACAGATTAAAAAGAAATGTCAAAAGGACATTCTACGATTACAAACCACGAGATAAAGCACTGCTATGTAATATAGTGCTGCAGAGCAAGGCACAGGTCAGCACAGTACATAATAATGTCACTGTCTAACAACATAAAAAACACTCCAAAGTAGAAGTCACAGTAATCAAAATAAAAACAAAGGGAATCAAAAAATAAAAACCACAAAAGTGTAGTGACATCTGTCACTGAAGACTCAGCACAATTTAACTACTACTACTGTCTCCTCTTCCCCCTGTGCACAGATTTCTCTAATTAAGCCAGCTAATTAATTCTCATTTACTAATGATACTCCTATTACAAAGGATGACTAGTCTGAGGGGCAAAGTGTTTCATCGGCTGCTGCATTGTGAGGTGAAAATTAAGTTTTCCAGCTAGGACTTGTGAAATGATTAACAGGTTTCCAGCTTATTAGAATGCAGTGCACGCTAAAAATAGGGTTAAACTTTTACGCCGATATTAATTATATGCACCAGGAACTAAAATAATTGCTGCATGGCTTTTATAATACTATATTTTAGAGCCCCACTGTGGCCGTTTGAAGCTATAAGCTTTATCTCTGATGAGTCAACCATCTAGGAATACGCTCTCTTCTTTTAAATAAATTTCAAAAGGAAATTCCAAATTAGGTTTTCCAAGACAAAGGAGTGACCCTACCAAGTGTCAGCTGGGGAATTCATTTAAAATTAAAACTGGATACTTTTTAATTACTTTGGTTTCTTAGATTAAAAGAAAAATGAGGTAAGATAAATGATTCAAAGTACATATAATTAATTCATGTTAAAAAAATAAAAAAGATAGGAATCTCTGTATCACATCCAGAAAAAAAGTGTCTGGGCGTAATGTGTAGATGTATTATTTGTTCTGCCAATCTGCATTTGAATTTTGGTAATGATGTTATATATCTAAGGACTAAACAAATGACCCTATCCAGCTTTCTAGTCTGGCTGACTCATGTAACAGATGACTAATGTCTTGATGTGTGACTGAATGTCTGCCTATATGCTGAGGTCAAGAGAGTACATTGCAACTGTATTCACAAGGGTTTTGGAAGCCCCCTCCCCAAGTCTACCACTTGGACCTTTGACCCCTAAAGATGTAGACTAGGGCCATACCGGCTGAGACAGAGAGGGGATCACTTTACAGCTGGATGCCGATCTTAAACCCACTCACTTCACCGAAGGAACCAGAACCTTTCTCATGGATTTACGGGCATAAATCAACTCCTCGCCCTGTCCTCGCCTACAACACACATTGGTGTCCTCTTACATGGCCTCACTAAGTCTTTCCACTCTGTCAGGGGAAATCCCATTCCTGAAATTAGTTCTGCTACATGTCCTTCTTTTCTCTGGATAATGACAGCAGACAGAGGGCAAGTGTGTGAGAGAGCTACAAAAATAAACTAATGGCTCTCTCAGTTAAAAATAGGTCAATTACTTATCCACTGCATGCAATGAAAAAGGTAAATATGGCAATAAGTCAAGAACTGAATTCGTCTCCAATGAGTTTGATTTCCTAATTCGTGTGAGCCACTTGTAGAGAACAGCAGACCAGAGGGACATCTGGGATGGTTACGAGTATGTTGACAAGAGGAAATGGGGGTCACAGCGAATGGCAATTACGCATGCAGAAGGCAGTTCGGCACAATTAAAACTAATGAGGCTTCAGCCTAAAACCTGCAAAAGAGTTGGTGATTTTCTGCCACATGTATTCCAGATGGAAAAGAGCAGTCATTACAGAGCTAATACCTATAGTCAGATTTTTCAGTACTTCTCACATATGGTAACTCTTTCAGTACGCCATCAGTGACCAGAAAATTTGGGACAAACATAATCATACATTGCAGTAGCAGACTAACCCTACCTATGTTTTGGTAGCTGCATATGCTTGGCTAGTAATGTTTTTTAAATGTTCAGTAGAACTAAAATACTGAGCTGTATGCTATGTAAAACACCATGCCTTCATTAATTAAAGACGGATGGACGGACGGACGGACGGATGGATGGATGGATGGATGGACAGATGGATGGATGGATGGATGGACGGACGGATGGATGGACGGATGGATGAAAAAATGGACTGACAAACATGCCAACAGGGAATAGGAAGATGGATTGGAGTGCCAGGGTAACTGATGGAAAGGATGCTGGACAATGAACACCAACACCCACCATGGTGGTGCTGGTCACAGCTCGTCTGTCCTGGCGAGGGCTGAGCTGTCTGGGAAGGAGACTCAAGCTCCTCCACTGGGGGAGGGCTGGTGTTGAGCTGGCCGACAGGAGGGGGCCATGGTAGGTCCTTGATCACTTTAATCTCTACTGCAAGTGTCACCAGAGGAGAGATGGAGGCAAGGAAACGATAGCAACAAGAATAATAAAGAAAGGAAGTGAGTTAGGAAAGGGAAGTAATGACAGAAAACAGAAGAAAAAGACAAAGGTAAAAGGGGTAAGTGAAAAATACTGTGGATAAGAGCAGGAGAGCTGGTTTATACTGTGATCCAAAATTCAGCAGCAGCTGTGGGCTAGAAAAGGAAGGAATAGAAGAGGACTGGAAAGAAAGGAACGTTAGTTCTAAAAGTAGGACTGGATTTTATATCCGCTTCCACTCTGATGCAGAGCTGGATACTCAGATTGCTGAGAGGCCCTGAAGGTAACAAAAGGAATGTGAAAGTTTTCAATTATCAAATTCAATAATGCACTCAGATTCAGCCAATAACTACAGTCTCACCTTGGGAGAGATACACTAGATAGATGCAACAAGAAGTTCTTAAGGCCGAATTGTTCAAGCTCTAATGCATGATACAGTGCATAATATCCTTAAATAACATTCAGGCCCAAGTAATAATACTGTACTTTTAATGAGCAAACTATAAAATACAAACCTGCCATAAGCCAAACTAGACGATCAGTGAAAACAGCACAGCTGCATACACTCTACTGTAACAGTTGGTGCTGTGTTTGATGACAAAGACCCCAGGCCTCTATATTAAGCCAAGTCAGAGTGTAGACAATATCTGTAGCTAAAAAGTACCTAAGAGTAATCCATGAAGGCAATGGACGCTACCCTGGCTTTGCCCCTTAAATAATGTATGCCCCATGCAGTTGGGGCTTTACCAGGATAATTGAGCACTCATGCAGCAGCACATCTGTTTCCAGCACAGGGCCACTTTTTAACCAGCCAAGGATAATTAATGAATGAGACAGAAAGGGGAATGTTTTTCTTCATACAAGAGAAAACCAGTGATCGAGCCAAGGCTAATAAATAAATGCAATCCATGGGTAATAGCTTTGGTGAACGACTGCATGTTCCTCGGGTGGTTGTGTTATTTTTGCTTAGATTTTGCAGAGGTCTCAAAAGACATCTTTGTGCCATCAAAGCCACAGCGATTGAGCAAATTCTAAGGTCACTGTCCATGGTGCTGGAGATTTTATTCCAGTTACGAAAGTACTGTAAAAGAAAGGAATTTTAATGTGCAGCTACTTTTGGCACATAACTATTAACAGTTTCTTTTAAGGTCTTATAAGTTAAAACAAAAAACAAAAAATAAAACACGTCATCCTATTAAATACATGTCATCCTTCATTCTCTTATCTCCTTTATCAAAACCAAATGCATTCGATGAGTACGTTAAGTTTAAAGTACGGAACAACAATGGCAAGAAAGGCTCTCAGACGGGTTCTATTCTCCAATCAGAACAAACCCCAAACATCCGAAACCCTCATTGTGACTGATATACAGCAAATATTCGGTCATCTGTCCAATAAAGGGAGTGGCAGAATTGTTCAAACATGGACAAACAACAGACAAACAGATGGGTTGATGCAAATCAGATATACTATTAACGCTGGTGCACAGACTAGTTTTTAGTAGGAGGATGAACATAATGTTATGAACCTGTCTTCCTCCCTGAAAGGAATTGAACCATGGTGGTGGTACAGGACATGTTAATGAGAAGCAATATCAGCAAGCTAGATGAAGGGGAGACTGGAGAATATTCAATCCGACAAGCAATTAAATAGCCGGGCCTGGGGTGTCAGGGGGCTAATCTAGAGAAAGGTGGCTGGAAGGAGGAGCTGCTTGCTGTCTGACCTGATGGGAGAGGTGTAGGCTAGAGGAGTGGATACAGAAGGTCAAAAACTCTGCTAGATAATATAACTTCCTCTACTTTGGGGTGAAGTAGGGGACTCTCTTCCTATGAGATTAAAAGCCTAATACTCATTTCACATTGCAGATTAGCGTGTAATTGTTTGGGGGAGCAGAAGGCTGCCTCCACTCTGCAGCCTCAGTGTGGGGACGAGGAGATGATTTCAGCGAGCGTGGTTCAGACTCGCTTGGTTGCACAGCTGAATAATAGCATTTAGCACTGTGAAAATTAAGGAAAACTGATTCAATAGTCAGGGTTTTGGGTGTGTTTGTGTGCATTTTTTTAAACCTGGGTGCCTCACCTTGTGAAGCATTTTAAGGTATTGTTACTCCTAAGGTTGTCACTGACTTTAGATGCCACGCTGCTGCACAGATGAGTGCATCTTTACACTCCAGGGACAAATTCATATTCAGCACCGAGGTGACAACAGCAGTTCAGGTGATTTACACATGGACCTGAAGGCTTAGCACACTGCAGCCCACATTTTCACAGATCACACTGCCCACACTGGCTCTATCACACTGCCCTCTATCAATACATACCTGTTTACAGCTAATGTAGATTTAGACCCATTATCAGGTCTGTGGGTGGTAAATTGTACTCTGTGTACAGGTTAACTGCATCAGAGACCGCACACGCATATCAAGTAGAAAATGTAAATCATGCTCAGTATGACATAAATACTATGCATTTTGTAGGTTAGGTTAGTTATATGTGTTAATAATCTGAGTCATATTTGCACAGCACCTTTCTAAATGAAAAGAGAAATAATGCAGAGCCCAATTAATAATTCTGAACGTTCATGTGAATACATCCGATCTTTTTTGTCGTCTAACCTTCCTCACCTGGATAATCCTCATTCAATATTAGTACACACCTCCTCCTGTTGACACAAAAAGCAGGTTATTGCCTGTCTGGAACTTGCGAAGCAGCTGTCGCTCAAAAGTGGCCATGTTAAAAATTTGAAAAGAAAACCCATCACTCATGTCCCTCCCATTGTACTCCTCCCTTTGGATATGTACTTTGTTTTGTGTTGACAGTGTAGTAAATAAAAAGAATAAAAAATAATGGATAGGGGTATGCGCTTTCCTTTCCTTTGTTCTTCCAGGAGCCGTTCTTTTTTTTTTTTTTTCCTCTCAAAGCCAGGTATTTGTTTACCCGGGCTTTTCATTAGCCCATGGCACTTCATCACTGTAAACAGTGCAGCACCATAAATCACCAGCTATGCTTGTTTTCCACCAATGCCGTTTAATTTAGTTCTGCTTAATTTGGCTGGCTAATTGCATGCATATTCAAAACAAGCTGGAGTATTGTGATGTTTATGCCACACATTATGAGCGGAAGAGCACGAAATACAAAAACAGCCTCTTCCGAAGACGTGTTTGTTCCATCTGCACTCAAATCATTACAGATAACAACTGTGTAATGCTCCAGGGGAACTGAAATGCCACTTCATAATTTTTCCGGTATACTGTATCCATCACATTACATAGTCCGGCTTTCTTTTGAAAGGACCTGCGTTTGTATTAAAAATGAAAGTGACACAGAAAATGGGTGATGGTTAAAAGATGACAGCAAGGCCTTTTTCCATGCTCTTCCATATAGAGAGAAGGGAAAGATGGGTTACTGACAGCTGGCCAGCAGGAGCTTCCATGGGGGCTTTCTGGCAAAACGCTGCTTCTACACTTATAGCGGGAGGTTTACAGTGCTGTTGTGTGTGGCCAATGTGTGTGAGTGAAGATAAGACTCATGGCAGCAGCGCTCCGTAGAGAACGGTGGGACACATTTGAGGCTCATGAAAGAGGGCTGACAGGAAGGTTATCAGCAGGGTGTTGCAGCAGAGGCCAGTAGGACGAGACAGCGCTGCAGAGTGACAGGCAGCGGTGGGGGATATCGGATCAGCCAAGCACAGACAAACTGAACCCCGACACCCACAAAACAGCTGGCTTTAACCCTGTTGCAAGACACCACGGTAGGACTGTAACTGAATCAATTATTTATTTTAGAACATTAGAATCAGATCTCAGATTTCTAGGTCGTTAAGCCCATGAAGATTCATTAAAAAAACCATAAAGTTTCCCAAGACCTGAGGGGCTAAGCGACTACACTGCCTCTGATCTCCAGTGTTAAATGCACGGTACCCTGCAGGCCAGGAGTCAAGTGAAAGGAGTTAGTAGCAGGTAACAGGGCAAGGAGATTAGGTAACAGTGGCTCTTAGTCCCACTCCTGCTGAGACAGCACTCGGATTTCCAATGGCGACGTGTCCACGTCTGGCTGTGAGAGGGAGGATACTATATGCAGAGCCAAAATGTACAGGGTGATAGACATATGGACAAACCCTACACGGGCCTCATATACTAACGCTTCATATATGGTCAAATTCTAATGCATCTTGGTCACACTTCACCTCCAGAATCATCCATCACTTACTCAGCATCCAGGGAGTAAGGATAGAGGTTGTGTCGAGTACCTGTGTTCGGCAGCCGAGTATGGTGTGGCGCTGGGGTGGAGAGGGACAGTGAGGATGAGTGATTAACTAAACCGCAAGTACACAGCCTCCCAACCCCCTAACAAGGCAGAGGATTTACATTCCATTGCATACCTGTCAGGAGATAGTTCAACAGTGAATAATAACACCAGACCAAGTGTTGTGAACAGGCGTGCAGGCAGGCTGTGATGGGGACAGCTGAGGAAAAGGGGGCTGCAGCAAGGAGCATTACTCTACTTTGCCTCCCCAGCATTAATGAAGACAAATAGTCTTTTATACAGATTGCATTACCGTGTTATACCACTGTGGGAGGGCGTAGGCGGCACTTGGTACTTATTTAATTGTTTTTTTTCCTTTATTTTTGAAACACCTACTGCACAATTTAGCAAGGTTGTTCATCTTTTTTCATTATGTGCTAATACTTTGTTTGGCGACATTTTCATTTCCCACATAATTGTGGGAATATGAACTGTGAAGGTTTTGATGGGTTCAGAAAACCGCTTCTAAATCTAAATGGTGAACAATATCATTAATCATTTATATTACACAGGCGTAAAGTGCTTCAGCAACTATAGAAATGTTGCTGAGGAGAAGTGCCCTCTGGAAACCTAAAAAGCCCACTGAGCTATAATTAGTCCTATTTTAAAAAAAAACAGGCTATCTGAGCACAGAAAGGCTGGAATCACAACTTACCGCAGCCTGATAACGTATTTACTTAACTGCTGACATCTGGAGGCATGGCAGCATCACCACAATGGAAATCAGGGAGATCTGAACATGAACAGTCAAACAATTACAAATCTATATATAAAACAAATAAAAATGTTGTCATATTCTGCATAAAACAAACTTAAATCAGATTTAGTCTTACAAAATCTGAAAGAAATTTACAATGAAAAGCTTGGAAAATATAGTTACTTCTTTAAATTGGTGGTTTGGGTAATATTTTTAAAGCTTATGATAAAAATTAAGCCAAGGTTTTTGTTTTACATGTTCATGTATGTTTAGTTTTTAATTTGGACCTTTGTTTTTTTCTGTCAAAACATAGACTTTTCTGCAAAATGGTTAGTGGTTCTGAAAATCGAACAATCACTTCAACTACAACTAGGTTTGGTAAATTACAAAAAAAAGGCGTTTAGGCTTCTCAAGCTCTAACGCACAGAAAGTTCATGATCTAAAATTACACGACCGCCCGAGTAACCCTGTCTCGACTAAGGGTGTAGGACAATTCCGTATTGGATCTGTGACTCATTTATGCCACAGATTTCCTGGCAATGAGAAAACGAATGGATCCAAAATATAATCGACAGCGGTGCAATAAAGCATCTCTGGGAAAAGACAAGAGTAGCTGGGCCCTAACCTAACTCTTAAAACAGTGCCAGAAGAGATTAAATGGGGATAACTGCTAAGCATTTGGCTCACATGACTTAAACATTGAAGCAATGTATAATGTCCTGAAGTCGCAGGTAAGCTTGTTGCAAAGATCAGAGACATGGGTGCAAGCACACAAACTTCAAGCTTGAAAGGTATGAAACTTTCTCTAAGCCCCTTGATGTCAGGATCCAAGGCTGGTCTGCACTGACACCTGCGAAAGCAACAAGCCCATGCTGACAAGGCTTGTCCTAGAGAGGTCTTTCTTCTTTTTTCCTTTCTTCCCTTTTCTGTCGTTCAAATGGTGGGGAATTATTTCGGCTTGAATTAAGCATAAAACAGAACACAATCCAGTAATAAATCAAAGTACTTTTTACACTGCAGCTTTCCTTGAAAGACAACTTAAAGACTTATCTCTTCAATTCCAAACCAATATACTTTGACATGCACTGGAAATTGAATTAATCATCATCAAAAGAGGGACACTCTCTGTAAGAGGGGGGAGTTGAAAGAGGGATGTGTTGGTAAATAGTGTCTTAAACAAACTCTCCTGAGTGCTGCTTGACAGAAAAATAATGAGGGAGAGAAGGAAAGTGATTAAGAATGCAGCATCCCTTATTTAACTAATCACTAGCACAGGCAAAAGAACGCGACTCCTATGAAAACCTCGGGGCCGAGGGTACACAGAAGTAAACAGGAAACAGAAATTAAGTGGAAACATGGAAGGATGACGAATGAACACACTGACAAATTTATTTTATACATTTGCCTACAGAGTCTCACTACACTCTGCCTAACATGAGCCAATGAATCCCTTAAATCACAACTCCTGCCACAGTCAGATACATCTAGCTGAATGCTATCTATCTGTGGAAATCTTCAAAACTAGCCCAAAACCTCTCAGTGGACAAAGATAATTTTCTCATTTATTTCAAGAACTTATGCTATCTGTAAGCACCATTGATTGGTACATACCAGTACTCTCATTACCTGCAGGTATGCACCAAATACTCTTATGAGACTATTCTCCAGCAAATGAGATTCATGAGTTTGTTTCCTTTGCAATGCCACGTAAGACTTTACACGTACTTAAAAATGAGGGAGCAGACCTTCTCCATCATTAATAACATTACAAATAATCTACACAAATAGAAAAGTGCGCTATTCCAGCAATTTGGGATGGATCCGTTTTGAAATAGTCACTAGCTCTGACCGGCTCTTCGAGGCATTACATCCAAATTAGATTCAACAATTGTGATGAAAGTGGGTTGGAGATGTGGCATTAATTACATGCTTTATTGTTGGATATTAAAACGTAGCTGTGCATGTAAATGATATTTATGGAATAATTCCCTTCAACTGTGTGACTGTGTGAAGTCCGTTGAAACAACCCATTAACAGCACAACACCACAAGGGATTAATGCCTCTTTCATCTTCTGTATTGTAACCGTTTTACTTTATTGCAGTGCACTTCATCTGTGATTTCAGAGCACAAAGGGAAAAATAAAGGACACATAAAATAGAGACATTTGTAGAAATAATTAAACTATAAAGAAATTTAATTACAAAAATGTGAATTATTTTTGTACTTTGCATCACAGTGAGTTTTGATTTACGGTGCTATGCCGCGCAATTACTTTTGCATGTCGAAAAACCAAATTACAAGCTTTGCCACTTGTTCCCCCCCTCAACTATACACCAAAATGAGCCTTGAGGCCATGCATGGTTTTAATAATGCATGCGTGTTGTTTTTATTTTGCTGTGCATCAGAGACCACTTTGCCATATTTTCAGTTTGTATAATGATCATTTCCACAGAAAGCCAAACCGCACTATTCTTGTCATGGAAAAAGAATAATTAACACTGCAAAGGGTGGACGAGTAAACACAGTTTGCTTCACTTCCACCCCTGCACCCTTCACCCCATTGCCTCTTCTTTTAAGCAGTGCTACTGCACTTGCTAAAATTGTGCGCCTGCTGAAAGACTAATCTGAAGTACTTCTACCATGCCTTTGCCTTTTTTTTTAGTCCACTTCAAGCTCTGGGGGATTGTGCAAGTAGCATACTGATAATGTCATTCTAATTAGCAACATTTTCCAAGGCGTTTTTCAGTAGGTGACCGCTGGGTTCATTTGGAGAAAACAGCACTTAGGATTCAAATGTTAATCAAATCGTGACATCGCTAATAAACTGTAAAACAAGCTTGTAATTTTAAACAGCATTTCCAGAAAGTAGAGTGCAACCCAGAGGTTCAGGCATCAGTTTCAAAAAGCTCTAAAAACATCATACAAAAAAAAAAGAAAAAAAGAAAAAGAAAAAAAAGGAGACAATCCCCAGTCCCGCCTCCATTGGTACCTGTGAGGGATTTGGAGTCCTTTCTGCCGTAGGGATCTGATCCAGTGCCATTTACAGAGCCCTCGTAGCTAATGCAGTCATAACAAAGCAGAGCTGTTCAAGAATGAAAAAGAACAAAAATATATATATATGAAGAGAAAAATGGGGCGATTGAAAATAGTCAAGGACTGCTGATTTTCTTGAAAAAAGGATAAAATACTTTTTTTTTTTTAAAATTTGGGGTGCATATTTATATTCTGGCGGCATATCTTTCCAGGAACAGCCCTGTTTGATGTTATGGCTGTTTTAGCCATGCTGAAGCTCTTAAAACCACAGTGACTACCTGGACCTACATGCACCTGCGCAACCAATCATGCCTCCCTGAGCAGCGTAGGTATCAACTTAGTTTAAACAGGCAGGAGCTGGATGAAAACAGTAAACAGTGTTCTGGACACCTGCAAAATGAAAGTAGCAGGTGCAGAGGAGAGGGGGGGAAAAAAGCTTAAACAGAAAGGTAAAGGCAGCAGCAGCAGCAGCAGCAGCAGCGGGAGCCTCATAACCTGACAGAAGCCATAATCAAATTTGTTAGTGCTGGAAAAACAGACGTCTGGGTTAGTAAAGAGAAACAGGTTCAGATTACGTTGTGTTAAAAGCTTGACAGTTGAGCCGTTAGTTAGATTCAGTCTCTGAGCATTTGACATTAGAACAAAGACTGCGAAACAGATCGAAATGAAATTCTGTTTGTTTTTTCCCCCCTTTTTAAAGATACTTACTAAAAAGGTAGAAATAATGTTTTCAGAGTAAAAGTGCATTATGCATCTCTTGTTCAAAAGTCTTCTTTGCAGTACTTTCAAGATTTATTTCACTTACTTCTTTCTCTCTGTGCCGTAAGTTACAGTGAGGTTTATATTCTCCTTCAGTGGTCATAACAATTCGGTCAGTCAGTCCTACCTGCAAAGGCTTTGGAAATCCTCTCCTTCTTCCACTCCCAGGGCTGGTCGTACTCCTCAGGGGGTCGCTCATCATCCTGGGGCAGTCTGCTTTCTCTGGGGCAGCGCAATCGGTCAGGGTCTGAGTCGCCACCATTCTCAGCTGGCTCGTATGGTGTGTCATACAAGGGCAGCTGCCTCACGGGTCCGTCCTTAGGACCTCTCCCGCCAGACCTGATCTCTAAAAAACATGAGAAAGACTCATTGTTAATGCTAGGTCTCTGACATAAAACTTTATAGATGAAAGCTATAAAGTTATGACTGTAGGTTCACTGGCAAACACAAAGGCAAGATATTTTATCAGGCCTGAAGTGGATATTTCTTGTAAAGCACGGAATATGGAAGAAATATGGAAGAAATATGGAAGAAGTAACCTCACATTTACACTTTTAGCATCTGTGTTAATACAGGAATAAAACTGTGACCAGTGACATCAGTTTGATGGCCAAAGGGCACAACTAGCATCACCAATCAAGCTGAAGACTAGAATTTTGCTTTCTATGTGTTCAAATGAGAAAGTATCCATAGGCTGAGCAAGTCCCTCACTTAGTGGGTTTGGCAAATTTACAGTAATATAGAAATAATAAATAAAATATAATAATAAATTTAGAAAATAAACAACAGCAAAAAAAAAGACTAACAATGTAGTAACTTGTGGTGAGCCAAGTTATCAAAACACTGTTGTACAATATTAAAAGAATGTGCTTGGTCTAAAATACCAAATGCATTTCTTGTACAACAGCTAGAAGCATCTCAGTCAGAGGCCATATGTAAAATAGCAAGGCAATGCAATAGTTAATACCGGCATAAGATGGGTGCAGATAGCACAAGTCCTGCGATATCAGGTGCAGAGCACTGTCAAAAGCAGGCTATTCTCACTGAAATCTGCCATCAACAATAGTCAGAAAGCAAAATTGGGCATGAATAAATTGAAAGGCAGGGCCTCCTACAACTATTATTCAGTGAATGGCAGTGACAGTTTGCTGTTGCTATTTGCAGAAAGTGGGAAGCAAGTCTGCACTGAAATAAAAAAAAAAAAGAAAAAGGTTGAGTTCATGCAAAAGAAGCTCTCTGCATAAAGCGTAGAAATCACACAGCGGCCCTCGATGAACATGCCCATCACTGTCAGAACTGAGTTGAATATAAAGTACCAATTTTCTTTCTCTCTGTAACATTTAAAAACTCTTTGAAACCAACAGAAACCGTCACAAGCGTTAGAATAATTTTGTCGTAAATTATGTGAAAATGTCAAAGGGCCAAATAACGCCCCTGATCTTGATGTCACAAAAGCGAAGCAAGCTGTGGTTTCTTTTAAATAAAATGTTTTGTAGCCTCAATTTAGTTCTCAAGCCACATAAAGCCTTAAATCCTTTGAGCCTATTCCCTCTAGTGTAGAAATACTTTAATCATTGGTTTTGGAGGTGGATCCCAGAATAACTATTGATATAATACAGGAACGACAGGTTATCCACAATAATAACAGTGTCACAAAAAAAGCAATTCCCAATACACTGTAGAACAATTTTCCATAATATCTGTATAACTGAGTAATAAAAAATAGCTTGAAAAAGCAGACAAACACCTATTATGTAGTGATTCACTGCATTATGGCGTCACCACACAAAGTGGTTAAGTACTGACACACGACATGCTCGTTTTAATAATACAAAAACACAGAAACAGTGCTACAGTGTATTCATCAAGTATCACTTGAAGAAGCAATATGACATACTAGATATTTTCCCCACAACCTACCTAATGTATGATTTCATAGCAACCTTTGTACTACTTGTCAGCATTTCTCCATCAGACTTAAATTCTTGGCTAGACGCACAAACAGAAATGATGACCACCTGGTGACCTAATGCATTAGAAAAAACATTTTTTTTCAGAATGACCTCTCTTCAAGAAACACGGATGTTTGCAACTGGCAGAAAAGATGTGGGCACAACCCACATCCTCAACCCTGCTGTTCAACCCAGAAAGGGATTTTCCTTATGAATGTGACATCATTTAGCAGCAAATACTTATTGTATTAAGTTTATGTGCCACCACTCAGGAAAAGATGAAATGCAGGAGAGGATTTACAGTGCCAGAAAAGAAATAGCAGGATCAAACAAAAAAAAATGAAGGAGGAGGAGGTGATTTTATCTATCATGGTGGTTGGACAAAAACAAATGTGGGCATAATGACATTATACTTTGTGCAATCTTTGTAGAGTTCAAGAAAGGGCTCCGTTTTTAAACTTCGGTACCCTCCTGGAACATACACCATTAACTGGTTTCTGGAACATTGCCAGTTTGTCTATAGACATCAGTTATAAAACGTCTACGTTTTCTTCTGTTTACATGTATAATCATCAGTGAAACAGAAGGCATTGAACGTTGCTTTGTTGTTCAAAGGCGGTGGAAATACAAAGTAAAACATCTTAAGCGTGTTAACCAAATATGACTTTCCCCCTGTAACTGTTGCATGCAAGGAGCAAAACTGTCAATCCAGTGTACATTTTTATATTCATGAGTCACGTCGCAAATCTAGTTAACGTCACCTGACCACAACTAAAACGCATGCCCACCCTTTCACTCTCCATGTAAGAAGGTGAAAAAGACCTGACGATGCTAATGAAGCATCATGCCCTTGAGAACTCTCCTCTCCCTCTTCCACCGCCTCCTCCCCTCTCCAACCTTCCTCTTCTCACATGAAGTTGTTAGCAGCCTGCACCTTTCCTCCTGGGCCACATGAAGCTGTTAGCGGCCAGAACCACCATAGAGCAATGCGATGTGAAGAGAATGAAATATTATGCCACACTACTGCATAATTGCCTCTTAGCCCAAGGGAGCTCTTGCGGAAAAATGAGCAATGCGTTGAGCCTAATGGAGCTACCCGCCACTGGTGGTGGTGTAGGGGTGAGGCTGCCAGGTCCCGTATCTGAACGTAATCCCGCATTAGACAAACTTGCACTCTTTGATCTTGGCAGTTAAAAGCCTTGGTGTTATGAGATCCTACCACGATTAGGCCCTACCTTTGTTGCAGAAGAACAAATAGCTCTGGAAGAAGGGAAAGAAAGCAAGTTGCAAGGAAGGGGGAAAATTAATGGGGGAGGTGTTACCCCCCACCAATGGGGTGAGTACACCATGTGGAAAGAACCCTTTAATTGAAGGCATGTTGCCTTCAATAAACTGTTGCGGTGGACTGAGACTCCCTGCTAAACCAGGCTTGTGTATGGAGACAGGAGCCTTGTTGGCCTCCTTACCTTTATTTGCATTAAAAAAAATAAAAAATAAAAATAAAAAATTCTTCCTCCCAACCTTTCGTTCTTCCTTCTTTCCTACTGCTCGTCTTATTCATCTCGTCAGTTCCTGTTGATACACGTTTAGTAAACAGGGAGGGGGCACATCTGTCAAGACAAATTGCAGAGACTGGCCTGACCGTGGGGTTGCATGTAGCAACACTGCTGCAGCCTATATTTTGCATTTGACCCCTACCCTCTGATCAGGGTCAGAAGTCAAGCACCACACCCTCTCTTGATCTACCTCATACCTTCCCCTCCCCGGATGTCAGAGTTCCTGTCCAGATGCTGCACTTCCACTTTTTGCTTTTTACAGCCACCCCCCCAAAAAAGCTTGCAAAATGTGATTTATAAACCTCTCTAGGGGGCAGCAACATTGTTTTTGTATGTTGGAAAAGCCCTAATACAGTCCACCACCCTCAACAGGGTTTTCAAAAGTCATGTAGTGGCAGCAATCTAACACCCACAACCATCTGTTTAGTGCTACTAAAAAAGATGTTTGCGATGGCAGCACACTGCTGAGAACCGAACATCTGCCTTTGCACCGAGAAGCAATTTTCCCTAATGAAAAATGACAAATACTGCATGCCAAAATAATAGGTGTCCACAACTGAAGGCAAAAAAACCAAAGTAAAATAAAATAAAATAGGAAAAAGAAAATTTAATCTCCAAAATAAGAGGCAGATCCAATCTTTGTTTTCATTTTTCTTCCTGTGGTTCCAAACTAAGGAGATTAATTCTGAGAGAGAGGAACATGTTCCTTGCTATAAATCCAGGGAGGCTCCTGTTCTACTTACTGCATGAGTAGCCCTCTGGGTATATTATCATGGCAGCGCAAGGGCAGTCAGAAAGCTCTGGATTAAATCAAAAAACATTAACTGCAACAAACCTGGCAGCCGCATCCTGCTGCACATAAAGAACTGATCAAGCCATCCTGCCATCACCATCATCCAGACCGATTCTGTGTTATTTTCCTCCATTTCCATTATTGACTGTCAGTAAATTCACTGCATTTGCAAGAAAGTAGAAAACAACTACATAACCGTGCTTTTATTGCGAGGCTAAAGAGTGTAATATGTAAAAGAAAAACACATTTATCTGCCTCTCTGGTTGACTACCACCCACCCACTCACACTGAGCCAAAGAGAATTTGCTGCTGTGAGGCGCTTTCAGGGGCACAGGGAATATCTGGATTTGATTGAGGGCATCTCTTGAGCACTAGTGAAGGATTAAATGTGACTGACTTTACACCCCTAGAAAACAATGTGCAGAAAATATCCAGGCTTAAGGATTTGCTCTGCCTGCTCTACCAGCTAAATCACTCTTAAAAGAAATCCTTTATCATTTGAGTTGGCTTGCTTTTTAACAAGGTGAATTTCTGCTGACAGCAACTCCTTAAAGTGAATTACAAAATATTACAAGTGAAACTGGATGTAGAAAATGAGACTAAAAATGGCTTTTTTGTTCATGTATTAAACAGATACATTTAATTGCATTTGCTTTCTGATTCGCTAAAATAATAAAAGACGTGGTCCTCCCAAAGACACATATTTAACAGAAGTAGAAAAGGAGCTGATGAACAAAGCTTTGATTTCGTTCCGTTTGATTGGCCTAGTCTGTGAGGAGAAAACGGGGTTGATCTGGTGTTCAAAGCCAGAGATTTGAGCAATATCGGGGGCCACCCACAGGTACTGTGTGTCAGTCAGAAAGCTCGCTGACAAGTAAAGGTGTTTGTTCATTGACCCATGGCGCCTCTGTGTTGAGTATAAATCTGCTTAGTGACTAGAGCCAAGAGGAGGCTCTTGCTGCTGACGGTTCCCCACAGATCTCTGGGAGAAAAGTTTCAGTAAACAAAGACACCACAGTCCTGTCATCTTTGTGTCTGTATCTTG